TGGGTCATACAATATGACAAAACGAACGAGAAATTTGAACATTGCTCTCCAAGAAAGTTTTATTGCAAATTTAATCGTTTCTTTTCGCCTATGAATACTATAAAGACGAGCAACATATATTATTACGAAATATTGAGAGTCACTTTGCAAACAGGCACACCAACCACTCGGAGATGACACTAGCCATAGTGTTCATTCTGAAGTCTGTCGTGCCCAGCTGTTTGAGAACATTTTGTGGTGAGTGTACCTGAGCTAATTTATGATAGTAACCAATATAAATTAAATAACCTTGATCTGAAACATTAAACAATGCCGCAATAGAAGTCGCTTTCGTCCAAACTGGTGTGCTGGTGGGAGAGTCAGCTGGTACCTCCACCTCACCATGGATTCTCTTGTGTGTCACAGAGACGTGACCGACCGCCCAAGCGCCTGACGAGCCGATCAGTGGCGAAGAGAATAAAAATAAAAGTTATGGCTCAGGAGGCAAGATGAGTGTGAGTGATTTTGAGGCCTTGTGTTGTAGAATTTAGTAAAGGAATTAGGTGGATTTGTTTACCAAGACAAGCGCTCTCATGGTAGTATTAATGGTCGGGTTGTTTTCAAGCGCAGTTCGTTAGTTTTTAATGATTAAGGTTAATTCTAGGATAATTTTAGTCATTAATAATTTGGTGATAACACTGATAAGTGATATTGCTGATTGTATAGTACAGTACTCGGAAGTAACTTGATTATACTTTACAAGGGCGGATCCAGAGTGGTCCTGGGTCCGGGTCCCTCCCCCCTTTTTTCATCAGAAAATCCAATACTTTTCTTTAATGAGGTATTGTACGCCGGTATTTTTGCATTGTAAAAAGTAATTACTATTGACCTCAGAATATCTCCTAATATCAAGTGCATCTGGTTTCAAAATGGTCTCAAAATGCCCATGATATTGGTCAGATCATAAAAGGGAGACGCTTACAGCGACCCCCCACCCCCTCCCCCCCAACACCCCAGCTGTTTGGGCTCTCTTTGCTCGGCAAGTTACCCGACCCAAAACTTCTTTTTGAATTCCTGGATCCGCCCCTGCTTTATCATATTTTTATATGGACGTATTATACCTGTTTTGAATAAACTGATATGGCAGGTCTTGTCTTGCTTCGTGCACCCTTAAGTCCTGAAACCCCTGAAAAAAAAAACTGCGGACGCCCATGCTTGGCAACAGTGCGTAACAGAGAGCCAGTACATGCCCACACTGACAACAGTACCTAACAGACACTTGACCGACTTTCCAAGTGAATAACAGGCCGATCAGTGTCGAAGAGAATAACAAAAATAAAATAAAGTACACCAAAGTAAAATGATTGCCATAGCATACAACCATAATAAAAGTATAAAGAAGTCTTCCCTTTAAAAGTCCATTTTCTTTTATCGCATCATAGAAAATGGATATAACTAATTTCATGACCGAGATCTTAAATAAATTTGAAAGAGATTAAATGCTGGTATTAAATGACTATGAATGAGATTAAATGCGGGAATTAAATAACGTTGAATGAGATTAAATGTGTTAGCGTAGTATTAAATAGACCAAACGAGTATCACTTTAATTAAATGGCTAACAATAACAATAAATAATAACAATAATAAAACCAAGAATATACGTCGTTTGCGAGGGAAACTTTATTGAAGAAAAGTGTCTTAGAATTGTCTGAACTATCGATTGCAAAGATAAAATTTTCGAAATTCAGTAATAATAATAATAATAATAATAATAATAACAATAATAATAATAATAATAATAATAATAATAATAATAATAATAATAATAATAATAATAATAATAACAATAATAATAATAATAATAATAATAATAATGTTGTTCTTGTTGTTGTGTATAGAATAATCATCATGTATTAAATTCAGGACAGATCAAGTTATATTAGAGAAATTAACCTTAGCTAAAGAAAATTTATTTACAAAAAGTTCACACAATGGAACTTTTGTAATTTTTTACAAAAATGATTTTACGTTATAGATTATTAGCAAAACTTGATAAGATTAAATGGAATCATGATTATTAGGAAACTTAATTAGTGCATTGGTTTGGTTAGGTTAGGTTAGGTTAAGTAGGTAAGGTTAAGCTAGATTAGGTTTGACTAGGTTAGATTAGATTGGGTTTGGTTGAGTGTTAGGTTAGGTTAGATTAGATTAGGTTTGGTTAGGTTAGGTTAGATTAGATTAGATTAGGTTTCGTTAGGTTAAATTAGGTTAAACTACGATAAGTTAGGTTTGGTCGCAACAAACTAAATTAGACTTGATTAGGTTCTGTTAGGTTCACTCCTATTTCAAAAGTGACTTGTTTCTATTCCATTATATCCGTTTTTAGGCAAAGAAAAATACTGTTATCATGCACATGCACATTTTATTTGCTAGAAAACATGCAAACTTTATGTATAGTCCTTAATTATATTTGTAAAATAACAGTACTTATAATATTAGCCTATTTGTACTGACTACATTTACACACATGCATGGGCGTCCGCAGGGAGTGCAAAGAAGTGCACTTACACCCCCTGGAAAATTAGAAATGTTTTTATCATGCAATCCTTGCTCACAATATGTGTGCTATGATATTACAGTTTTTAAGCGAACTGTTTATTCCCCAGAGAGTTGTCCAACGAGCTTACTTTTACTTTTATCCTCTTCCCCACTCATCGGTTCGTTAGCCGCTTGGGCGGTCGGTCACGTCTCTTACACACTGTTGGCAAGTAGGCCTACTGGGCATGCACTGGCTCCTGAATGTATCAGAACTTATTCCAGTGTTGGTAAAGTCTGGTCTTCAAAGGGCTCACACTCGGTGCTGTCACAACACTCTCTGGCAGGTCGTTGCAAGAGTTTACAACTCTCACCCAGAAAAAGTTACCCCTGTAGTGGAATTCTCCCCTACAAACGCTGTTTGTCGCTGCCTAGCCGACCCCACCAATTCCCCAGTGTATGCCTCGTGGTCTAGGTCAACCAGCGCCGCCATACACCACGGAGCGGGGGTCAACTGCTAAGCCACGCCTACCCCCGCTATTTAAGACCTGACCTCGTGGTGATCTGTCTCTCTCTCTACCTACACCAACCAGCCAGCAACACCTCCTCCTGCCTGGCGGTCCTCGCTCCTCCGCCTGCCTGGCGGTCCTCTCTCCCGCTGGCGAGCATGGCGACCCACAAGCTGTCCTTCTCTGAGCGTCCTCACCAACCAGCTCTCTCTACATCACGCTTGTAACCATGCTGCCTTCCCAGCACCAAGCTGCATTGTACATCCAATACAACATGTATATAGAGAGCACATCGTGAGTTTCCTTTCTCCATCCAATCCTGAGTGTGAACCAAACATCTTGAACCCCACACCCCTCACAGTTTTCTGGAGTTGTGGCTTCTTCAGCCTTGAGCTGCATGTGACCCCTTGTGGGGCTGAAACGTCCACCAGCTCCAGGTATGGACACTCGACTGAGTAGTGCCCTGTGAGATGTTTATAAACTTCAATAAGGTCACCCCTTGCCCGTCTGTATACTATAAGCTAGGTAGTTACAGGCGTTCTAATCTCTGGGTAACTGAGGTTCTGTAGAGCAGGCACCAGTCTGGTGGCCCTCATTTGGACATTTTCAATCAACTGACAGTCTCTAGCATATTTCTGGGACCAGACGGGGTGACAGAACTCCAGGCGGGGAAGCACATCACTCTTGAAGATCGTTACGACCTTTTTATACGACCTACTAGTTTAGTTGCTTGATTCACCTTCTTCTCACAGTGACCCGAGAACTTCAGTTCATTGTCGACGTACACACCCAGGTCTTTTTCATATTCAGTCTCTATTAATGCAGTTTCTTCCTCCCGTTGGGACATGTTATACGCGTCCTTACTGTTGGTATGCCCTCGGTGCATCCTCTTATACTTCGCGAGTCGTGACATTGAACCTTAGCAGCCATGTCTTCGACCACCCTTGAGGCTGATAGAGATCCTTCTGTAGCTGAGCCCCTTAAGATCTTGTTCGGCACAAACGGCTAACGAGCCAATAAGTGGCGAAGACGATCGAAGTAAAAAGTAAGTAACAGCTGCTTGGATGAGTAAAAGGTCCCCAGTGACTGGAAAATGGCCTAAGTGGGTGCTATATTACAGCAGGGAGATCGCCAGTCCACGAATAATTATATATCAGTGAGTTTGACTAGCATAGTGTATAAAGTGCAAGAGAGCATTATAAGAGATGCCATGATGGAACATCTACTACGAAGTAAACGTGTATAGGAGTGCCGACATGGAACAATCCAAGGACTATCTGACAGAGAGCGTTGTAAGTGTTGTGACGGCACCGAGTGTGAGCTCTTTCAAGACCAGACTTGACCAACACTGGAGCAGGATCAGGTACATTCAGGAGCCGGGGCATGCCCAGTACTTGCCAACAGTGCGTAACAGAGACGTGTCCGATCGTCCAAACGGCTAACGAGCCGATCAATAGTGAATAGGATAAAAGTAAGTAAAATTGACGGCACCAAGAGTGCTCTCATTCAAACCCAAACTTGACCAACACTGGCACAAGTATAGATACATTCTAGAACCAGTACTTGCCAACAGTGCACAAAAGAGACGTGATCGACCGTCCAAGCGGCTAACGAGCCGATCTGTGGCGAAGAGGATTAAGGTAATATTAAATTTAATTAAAATTCAATTTAAAGATCCATTGTTGAAACTTGATCCTATTAAATTATGGTAATTTCTATATGTATTAACACCTAGAAATATGAATTAAATATTAATATACTTGTACTTTATATCACCATGTGAATGAATACGTTGTTTACATACTACCTCTCTAGCCTTCTTATAAAACAGTATCAACACATTGCTGCTGCTATCAAACAAATTCAAATTTTCTTATAAAAATATTATTAATATTAATATTTTGTTACATATTCTCTCCCTATCATTTATTCTCTTGTAAACATTAAAAAGATAGTATGTCAACACTATGCATCTGTCAGTCCCGTGTTCTCGTCCTTCCCCGTGGCGACCGAAACACGAAATTTTCCATAAATTAAATCAGGACAAGCTTATCAGACTTCACCGTGAGTTGCTTTTACTTATACCTGAGCTAATATTATAATAGTAAGCAATATAAATTAAAGAACCTTGATCTGGGGCTTTAAAGAACACATCAATTAGAATCACTCTCGTCAAAGCTGGTCTCTGTGGCCCTTGTTTACAGTGTGGTGGCTGTGGCCTTGTTTACAGTGTGGTGGTGGGAGGGTCAGCTGGCGGCCACACCTCACCATGGCTCCACTTAATAGCTTAGGAGGCAAGTGGTTAGGTTAGGTTAGGATGGGTTAGTTAAGGTTTGGTTGCATTAGGTTAGATTAGCTTCCTATTAGCTAACATTTTTGCCGATGGTTAATATTTAGCAGTTGCCAACACCTAATTCTACAATATATTTAGTCATGTAACATTTGTTTGTAATTTATATTTTTTGAGCATTTTAACTGATAAAATTACCCACAATATTAGTTGTTAAAAGTGGGCTGTGCTTTGAAGTAGAAGGAACATGTGGGGTAAAATACTAAAGAGAACACCAGACAAACCTTTGAAAACCTTACTTAATATTTCCTAACTTGTAAAAATGTTAAGAATTGCTTTTGAGTTTATGGATCCCTCCTCATCTGAACACTGAAAACAACACCATCACAAACTAAACACCAAAAACATAGATAAGGTAAACTTTTTATAGTTAGGAACAGGACATTCCATTATGATTACATCAGTATATTTGATCACCATTGACACAACTACATCACCTGATGATTTTAGTAATTGCCTTGCCACTCTTCATGCAGATGTTTGGGGAAGAACCTGCTTTACCTTACAGATGGACAACAAAACTGTGGATCCAGATGAACATAACGTTTAGATGTTCACTTGCTTCCTCTTAGGTTATTAGACAGATCAGTTTTATATTGAGTGTGTTGTATATGATATTGTGTTTTGTGCCAATTGTAGATCTTATTTCAGGATGGATCATCAGCCTCTTGCCAGCGTCACGACTGGATCTCTATCACCAGAACTTCAAACCACATCCTCTCGGAAGCATGACCTTCCTTCGGTGATTGACCTGAGACCAGTAGATGCTGGAATAAGACCAATCAGTGAGGAGATACAACCAGTTCAAGAAGACTTACATCATGTCACCCAAGATATGCATAGGGTTGGTGGACAACTTCACCAAGTTAACAGCTCTATGTCAGTTAATGGTGAAGAATTGAGGTTGACAGATAGTGATATACACCAAGTCAGTAATGACCACACTCAGGTATCTGACCCTCTTGCTATAAATAATGAAGACGCTCTCACCATGGATGGGGAGATAACAGATATGGACCCAAATCAAGATGTACAAGTTATTACGCATCAGGTACATACAATATAACCAGACTATTCTCAGTGCTTCTCTCCCTTATGTTGTTACCTGTCACGATACCACCCCTACAAGCATGTCTCACAACCTAACCTTTTAACCTGATACATCACAGATTCCTTGTCACTACAGTACTTGTCTTTCCTTCCTCACCTAGCCAGAAGTTTATAACTAGAGCAGATACAACAGTAAAAACTCAATGTCAATCTCTCCTTGAAGATTCGGGTACAGGTCAGTGTTGGTAGTATCCTTGTGTATTAGTAAAGCCAGGGGCATCCTCCCCCTGTACCTCATGCAGACATACATATACTGTACCTGTACAGTACAAACATTATTATAAAACTATATTCCAACATACATATTTACACACACATCCAGAATTGTATGTGTAAAAATGCCATAGGTATTGGTATCGACTTTTTGACTTGTATCAGTACCAATTCTCATGGATAGCTTGAGAGCCATGTCTTGTCAGAAGCAGTAATTGCTAACCCCCCTAGTAGCTGGAGCCAAAGCCAATAAAGGCTGATATTGATACAATGCAACATTGCCAACCACAATACAGTAGTTTCAAAACTACCCAGCAACATTTAAACAGGAGGGAGAAGCGTTTGTCTGATCGCCAGGCCATCACTTCCTGTGGCTTTGGCTACTAGGAGGGGTTGTAATTACTTCTTCTGATTATACTAGGATATGTGTTATGTCAGTCTTGATGTCTCTTATACAAAGAATTTAGTAAATATAATTTACAAAGTTCTCCTTCCTCAGGCCAACTTGTTAGAAGATGCATCTGGGGTTCTCAGTGCAGATAAAACTATCAAGCTGCCCAGTTTTCCTAGCCAGCAGACAGCTCATGAAGCCCACGACCCACAAGACTTACAGCTCAGCAGCATTACCAGTGGTGGAGGAGCCCTGCCCCTAGACACACAGCACTACTATGATAGTCTTCACCCAGCCCCAATAATGGTCTATGAAGTTCCAGCTGGTAACATTGTGCCTTTTGATTCTATAGTGCCTGTTCCCTTACCCAAAGGCATAGGGGAGAAGAATAATGAAGGAGTGGACTTACTACAAGCTTCTGTCAATGAAACTGTGTACACTCATCCAACTCAGGAAATGTCTCATCCTTTGTATGTCTTACATCATCCTCAGAAGAAAGAGCCTAGTTCAGAAGGAATGGTTATTGAACATATTAATGCAGGTGATGGAGTGAGTCCTAATATTGTCCTTGAGAACAGAGATGGTAGCACCTTTACAAAAGTTGGTGACCAGTCGTCCAATATGATGCCAATTGGAACAGAGTTTAGCCTTATTTCAACTTCCTGTTATGATAACTCTGTTACTACTGTAGCAAACATGGCACAACTTTCCATGTCAGCAGTATACCACACTTCAACAGACACAGACAGTGAAGTTGCACTGACTCTTGCTAGTCTCGGCAATCCCAAGATTGAGAAAATGGACAGAGATTGTGGACAGAACCAGAACACAGAACATTCAGACGTCATGAGGGCGGCTTCCATCATATCGGGGGTAACTGATCATCAGCAGTTTGATAATATGGATCATCAAAGCAGTAAGACCTTAGAAGAAGAAATTAGAACTAAAAAGGATCAAAAACCAACTCTGGTGCTAAGAAGCAGAAGAAGTAGAGGCACAACCCCCAATCAGCAGCACCATGATATGACCATTGATGACACAAAGAAAGTTAGCAAAAGGAAGAAGAAAAGGGAAACAAAACTGGCTCCTTTCCCCAAAACAGAAGAGGGAGAAAATTTTATAATTCCAGACAGTGTTCTTTCTGTTCGTCAAATATCTGGTCCATCAATCACCATGCAGAATGAATCACAAAAGGAAAATCTATTGGGTCAGTTGCTCAAAGCCTCAGAGCACTGCGAGCCAGCAACTCTCATCCCAGAGGGTGTCGTCGATGATGTGATACCAGCTGTTGGGTACCGAATAATGGACATGACAAACCTGAGTGAGATGATCGGAATGATGCACCGGTGCACGGGGTCAATGGGAGCCATCGTGATTCAAGAACAGGCCTCCCTGCGTGAAGGAGCCGTCTCTCAGCTCAGTGTTATTTGTACTGGCTGTCAGGTTAGTGAGACCCATGAGGTTTGGGTGTGTGGCATTACTTTTTTGTGCATGACCATTCCGAGCTGGGCATAAGATGTCTGCTGCACCATATGAGAAAGCTATATACAGTAGTTAGAATTACAACTTCAAAGGTTTAAACCCAGGAATCTGCTGTTTCAGAGGGTAAAGGGTGGATCTTGAGGCAGTGTATGTCAGAATTATAATTTTAGAAATCTCGTTCATGACCTTAACAACCTTCTTGTATGACACAGGATACTTGTCTCACTCAAGGAGGAAAATTGTAAATAAAAGAAGTGCCCCAGGCTACTTTCTATACCTTTCTGTCATTTGGATCTGTTGTCTTCAAATTTGCTTTCATTTTTCTTGTTACAGTACTTTGAAACTTGCTTTCTTTTTCTTATTAGTAAACCCTTGATAACTCTGTACATATGGGGCTCTGGCCTTGCTGAATAATCTGAAATTCCAACTTATCGAGGCACCCCTCCCCCCCAACAATAATACATGTAATTACTCATTTTCAAAAAATAACACTTACCAGCACTGCAGGCAAAGACTGAAGCATCGTAGTAGGCAACAGAGGTATGGTAGGTGGCAGAAGTGATAGAGGGGGATGCTAAGTAAACAGTGCAGCACTTATGTACAGTCAGCCAAAGATCCAGCAACCCCAACCTGGGTCTCGTACTCGCAATTTTACGTGGGAATACTTGGTAAAGTAAGGCTGTATGTAATGGTGATTGTGGTTGGTGGATCTATTTTTAGCTGTATCACTGTCAGGATAACTATTAAACAATGCAAAAGGTAGAATTTTTATAATAATAAACTGTTCATCGTTATTTAAGATCATGATAAGTTTCCAAATGTTTGTATATTTGCTTAAATAATGAAGAAAATTATATTAATGAATTGGTAACTTAACTACAACCACAGCTGCCACCAGATTCTCACATAAAATTTTCTTCATTATTATTTAAGCAAATATACAAACATTTGGAAACTCATCATGATCTTAAATAATGATGAATAGTTTATTATTATAAAAATTCTACCTGTGGAATAAGTCTCTAAGCCAGGTTATTTGACTTGAAATCCCCGGGTTTAAGTTTGGGTCTCCTAATTTTTTTTTTTTATTAACAGTTGTGATTTGTTCTCTTTGTTTTATCTTAAGTTCACAACAGCTGTTCCACTATACAGGATTGTAATATCAATCAAAGTACAATGTTTCTTAAGTTTAATGATGATGTCTACTGGTCACTTGGTGTCAACAAGCCAGGTGCTCACCACGGCTCAGTCTACAGAGGTCGGGTTAACTAATTCATATTTAAGAGATTTATAACTGATCACACTGTTGTGTATGGCCACTGTTAAAGATACCCAGATCTGGCTCACTTCAATGCCAAATTTAAAGTATGTAAAGATATAACTGCTTAAAAACATTGACTTTCAAGTATGAGTGGAAAAAAGTTTGAAATAAAAAATATATACCGTCGAAGTCACAAACAAATTCACGCTTTCAAACACATTTGGAGTAAATCTACTACAGTATTTCTCTTCTTCACTAATGATTACAAAAACTAGTTAAATATAACATAAAAATGCGAGTGTGTGGTGGGTAGTGGAGCGGAGGAGGAGGATGGCGAGTCACTGAGACCCGGCGGGTGACTCCTCCTCCCGGTTTAAAACCTCCATTTTCGTAGCAAGGTTAATGGTCTTACGTTGCTTATTCATGACACTAGCATCAGTAGCACTTGATGGGTGCTTGGAAGCCATTTTGAATAGTTAGAGTACAGTTTTAATAGCTAAAACACTTAAACATGCACAAACGCTGTGGAAGCCCAACAAAGACTGACAACGCTTGGGGACGCTGTGACGTTCTGCGAGTGAGAGGCAGTGAGCCAAGACGAGAGAGAATTAGCGCGCCAAGATGAGACGGGGTGATGTGCCGTAAAAAGTAGTCTGTGACGACGCTAAACACAACGTTATATTGAGTCGTCGTGACGTCAACCGAATTATTGGTATCTAAAGAGTAGCGACATTGTACAGTAATGAAACAACATTATTTTGGGCAACGCTAAACGAGGACTTACTGTAATTTCAAATGCATTACTGCCCATCTGCTTGTCACTGGGAATTTAGAGGATCAAGGCATGAATCATAGTGTTGTTGAAGGTGGTATTTAATACATGAGGCTGTCTGATAGTTTTGACTCCTGACCAGAAGCTCCACTAATCATCAAGATAACTTACCCCTTACTACTGTACCTGAAATTTGAAACCCTAACATACCTGGGAAAAGAGCTGTTTGTAGCACAAATGTTGTATGCATGGAAAACACTTTTTTTGCTGCTTAGCATAATAAGCCCTCTGGTATAGTGGTGTTAGCAATAGGTCATTCATTTCACTCCCTCACCTATAAAATGGAATTCCTTTTTTTTCCATAAATATTTTAGGGTTTTTTATTTTTTTTAGAAAAGATTAATGCTTCTTTATTTGATTTAAATATTTCAGGAGGGAGCAGTGTGTGCCACGAGCAACAGGACATCAGCCACAGGGCCATGGGACATCAATGCCAGGGTAGAGCAGCTCACTAAGGAATTCAACATTAAGGAAGATCAGGTGCAGCGCATGCTGGAAATTTTGGGAATTTTTTACCGCCCTTGTGACCCATCGCTTCAGCCCATGTCACAACCAATGGTTAGGGTTTTATCCAGTAATTGGAATATATTAATTAAAAATTTAGTGAGAATTATGCTCTTTATATGTACTCATACATACCTGTACACTAACTTGCTTCATTGTTCTCTTAACATTCCATTTTATTAAGCTTACACATAATCTTTCAATGTGTCATCATTCTCCTACAATCTACTCCTTAAACTCAGGTGAATACAAGTAGATTCATCACTCACATCACCACACACACAGTCACTCATCTGTTTACCTGGTTGTCCAATTGTCCTCATTTACTCTCACATAATACAGTATGTAGAAAATTGAATAAAATAAAACTATTATCTGATCGTAAATTTCATATTTAGCATACTAAATATTTTGGTAAAATAGATTATTTCATAGAGAAGATTTTCTGTTGACATTTACTTTACTGTGTACATTATAACACATCAATCATTCATTGACAGATGCAGTTGTAACTAACTTATCAGTGTTAATTTGTTTTTAATTCAAAGGAGATGGAGACAGCACCAGTGCAGGTTGCTAAGAAGAAAAGAAAGAAGAAGTCTGACTCAGACTCTTCTGGGAAGCCCAAGAATGTTGCTTGTACTGTATGTAAGGAGAGATTTGTTGGGGTGAGTTGTGGGCTCTTGTGTGTTTTGCCATGAGTTTGTTTCTCACAGTTGCTGATATTATTGATATTAATTTATTTGAGGAAAGTTTAATAATAGGAATCAATCAACTCTGTGTTGTCAGTGAGTCCATGGGATAAAACAGGGGTGGGGAAACTGTGGCCTGGCTTGCCGAGGGTCCCTGACCATACTCGAATTCGGTGTTGTTTTTGTGTGTTTTTTTCCTTTCGTGGGAGACTTATGGGGGTATAGAATTTATTGGTAGATTTACCCGGTAGATGAAATTTAGAGGATTTATATACACTATTATAAGACTCACTTATAATACTGCATTAGGATGATGTTCCAGGGTAGTGGTCCAGCTTTAGTGTCATGCCCCCAATTACTCCTCAGAACACAAAAATAACAACAAACAATATTTACTTACATTTAAATGCCCTGGTGCGTGACGCTATTTTCTGGCGTGGTTGGGCTGCCGTGTGTGAAAAAACCCACCTGCCCACTGCTCACTCACTCACTTAGTCTACATTATAAAGTTATAAAAACTTGCTTATTACATAATTTATATATAATTTGGTGAAGATATGGTAACACCGCTCTTCAGCTGACTTGGCCCCCCCCCCCCCCAGCTGTCAAATGGCGCACTCTCATTATTCTCCACAAAATGCATCTTTTTTCTCTCCTTTTTTTCTTTTTTTTGCATACTTAGGCACTTATTTCTATACTTAGGGTATACTTTAAGACACTATTTGAACTAGATACTCTTCACTACTTGTTTCAAAAGTGCTCTTCAGTGTGATACATCTTGAAACACGGTATGAAACAGATTTGTACGCTGCACATCTGACACATATACGTAGGATGTTTCCTTGCGCAGCTTTGGTTGATTTCTCGAGTGTGCCCCTGAAACAATCTGGCCCTCTGACCTCAAGAGTTTCCCCACCCCAGGAATAAAATGTGGTCCCAACCTGTTACTTAGATCTAAACTTGAATATATTTAATAATAAGATTATCCTTGATCTTCATATCAGGCACCTGAGGAATAAATATTTGGTAAAAAGTTATTGTACTAAAAAAAGGGAGACGGCTTAAGACTTGCTGTCAAGAATGAAATACCGTAACCTTAAAATCAATCCATTATGATCAAGAGCTCCAGATTCAGCTCATCTCACACTCTAAAACGAGGAGGGAGGGGTTGATGAGTAACTTGGTTCCAATATGATTATGAAAATGAATTTCATTATTTTTTTTATTTTTATTTTTTTATCATATTCGCCACTTATCAGTTTACTAGCCGTTTGAGCGGTTTATCCAGTGTTAGTACAGGAGGAAACTGGGGACCGGGAAACCTGTGGTGTTTGGTAGTGAGGGTCACACTGGATAACACCCTTCTCACGTGTGTCCGGGCCAAGGCTCGAACCCTTGACACTATTTATTCTTTCGGTAATTATTCCATTAGTTGTGATTTACATTGTCAAAAGATACAAAACCAAGGATGACAAATGTGTTCACTAAGAATTTCTTGTCCTTACAGGAGAATCACCTCAAGAAGCACATGAACTGCCATGACCTGTCCCTTCACACCTGCCCCTATTGCCATGCATACTTCAAGAAACCTTTTAACCTCAAGCAACACATCAAGAAGCATGAAAGTATGGTGCTATGCTTTTGTACAGTGTCATATAATTCAACTTGAGTGAAAGCTTATAATTTTTGTGTGTAGAAGCATGTCTGTAGTATGTGAAGTCAAGTATTCCATGTCTGTAGTATGTGAAGTCAAGTATTCCATGTCTGTAGTATGTGAAGTCAAGTATACCATGTCTGTAGTATGTGAAGTCAAGTATTCCATGTCTGTAGTATGTGAAGTCAAGTATTCCTCAGTTAATGCACTCTCACTCACCATGATTTTGTTTTTACAATACTGTATTCACCAATTAGGGAACTCTTCACAAAACACATTTCATTTCTGGGTCAGTGATGATCAATTTACAGCTGGGTGAACTGGGAGGGCCCGAGAATTGAACCACAGGAGTGCACATACCACACGACATCCACACACAGACCTTCAACTGCATGTATGAACACAGACCATCTGGCCTGATGCTGTGTATAAAGGTTTTTCTGTACAACATTTTAGGCTGGAAATGACCTCCACTATATCCTCCTGAAGTATTGACTTAAAATTCTGGGAGACACTGAACAGGTACTCCTCGACTTATGATCTACCCGACTTACGACCGCTGCAGTCGCATAAAATATTTTTCAAATTACGTATTTTTGAGTCCTGACGTTAGTGATCGCGCTGTGTACTGACGCCCATTTTAGATTTTCTATGTATTATTTTCGCCTATTCGACTTACGACCAATTCGACTTATGGCCTGGTCGTCGGTCCGGAACCCCGTCATAAATCGAGGAGAGACTTTATATTGCATATATTCTGTACTGTATATTGTATATACAGTACTGTGTTGTAATAGAATAAACACCATTACACCATGCATGGGAGTGTATGGGTGACAGTAGTGCATGGAGAACCTAAACATACAAACTCCAGCTACAATATAGGTTCACATATTGAAATCTGAATGTGAATTCTTGAACATTCAGGACTACAGTGTTTTTTATAACTTTGTATTTGCATTAATAATTCCATTTTTTGTTTATGCATACACACAGTTCTTTATTAATCATTTTTATGCATAATCTCACTCATAATACTGTCTGCAATACTGAACTTTTACATGTTTTGCTATGGGATTAATAATTTAACTTTTTTTCCCTTAGCATGATATTTTTTCAGGAGTGTATTGCATGACCACTAATCACTGTTTTTAGGATCTTTTATTTCATGATTTATTTTTACTTTTCAGATTGTAAGTATGAGTGCAATCAGTGCCAACGAGTGTTCACAGATAAGTCAACTTTACTCTGCCATATACGATCACAGCATGAAAAGAGGTAAGTGTCCCGACCCATTTTGAAATGTGCAGTGTTGTGAGATTGTATGAAAGTTAGAAAAGAATGCCTGACCGTGGGATGTATTCTAACAGGTCTTTAGGGAAGGAAGGAAAGTTAGAGTTGTATATTAAAATAGTGAACAGGGAAGGAGTAGGGTCGGAAAATGTCTGATATCCTGGTTTTCAAGACACTAGGAAAATAGGAAAGTCACAACCAAAACAAGAAATTTAGGTTTGAAAGGGAAAAGAGGGAAGAAAATGAAATAGGAAAGAAGGAGTAAGAAGATAAACTTAGTATGATATTTTGCAGGAAGTTTAACCCTCAGAGATTTGGGACACTGGGAAGAAGAGTATCTTTTCAGGCCTGGGGGATTGGATAATAATAAGAATTATGTACAGGTATTGTAATGATGGGGCAGACTAGAGACTCTTCTGCCATGGCCACATTGCCTGAGAGGAGTGAAATGTTGAAGATTAAGTAAAAGTATTTATTGTCACTGGAGAATACTGTACATACACTGTGTGGTATTTTGTTGATACAGTATGTGCCATCTTCAGGTCTGAGGGTTGACAACTAAGGCCCAACACTGAATGTTCTTGATATCATAGTGATTTGTGAAGGAGATAAGCTGTGGTTAATCACACTAATACAGTAATATTATTGAGGTGAAAGGAATAGAAAGTTTTGAGTATTTTTAACCCCTAGGCATCTGTAGAGCTTCAGGTCAATTCATATGACGTGTGTCTGTAGAGCTTTGGGTCACGTCATATGACGTTTGTCTGTAGAGCTTTGGGTCACGTCATAATATGACGTGGGCCTATTTGAATAAAAAGGGTGGGCCTGGCAAGATTATGTTGTCAATTAGATATTTATTTTTCACTCACTCACACAGGAGAGCCTCCCAGTCTCTTCTCAGCTTTTGTGATGTAAGAATCTCGCCCTTGGACTTGACTCACTTCACCATGTGTTTCTACCTCCAACCCCCAAGCACAAGTGGAGCAGTAGTAATGATTGTTAATAGTGTAAATAGTAATATCATACTAAAATAAGCATCCTGTACCACTTGATCTTTGTCCACCCAGGGAAGAGTTGTGTTATTGATTTTTTACTGATTTCTCTGAAAATTTATCTATGACCTCCACACATTACTTGTTGAATTATAAAATAAAAAAATATTTTTTTCCCAGCTACGTTGGGATATAGCAATACTTATACTGTATTTGTATCTGTCTTTGTTTTTGTGAAATTGTGTCTGTCTGTAATAATAAGTTTGCAAAATTGACTCACCTGCCTCAGTTTTTAATGGAAAAACATACCTCGTACAAATGGTGTACAGTGAAACCTCTATTTAGCGGACTATATGGAGAGGAAAGTGTGTTACATCGAGGGTCTGTTAAATGTGGAGCCCCATCTAATGGATATATGTAGGTTTTACTGTATATTGATTATTGTTGAATAGATATCAAGATGGTTAAGCTATGGTGAGTCTGTTCACCCGTTTTACTTACTGCACTGTATTGTATGGTGAGCAGGTGATATGTTAATTTCAGATGAGTCTTCTTTTTTATGTTAAACCTTTGCTTCAACTTCTCTATCATCTTGAATTTACATCTATTTATTCTTATCTTGGAGAAAATTAACTTTGACTGTTGGTGAAGAGGAATTAAGCTGACCTCTAAAATGGAGCAAAACTTAAGAATATCTGGATTACTTAATAGTTTTCTCCATTATGTATTTATTTATTAGTTATCTTTACTCCTTTCCCACTCATTGAAGGAGGGGGAGGAGGTGTGGAAAATGACAGAAAGGTGCAAGAAAAATTAAGTAGAAATATCTTGAGACTGTTCATTATATCTTGTTAATTATCTTTATACTTGATGAATGTAATTTAATTTGATTTGCAGATACAACATTCAGTGTAAGCATTGTTTTAAACGATTTTACCACCGAGCTCACTACAATGAACATATGAGAATTCACACTGGGGAGAAGCCTTACATGTGTGATCTGTGTGGCAAGAAGTTCTCCTGGCATGACAGTGTGAAGAAACATATGCAGACCCATAGTGCCGAATCCAAGTACAAGTGTCGCCTGTGTGGAAAATGGTTCCGGTAAGTAGAGAGGACCAAGGAGGTATACTTTAGGTTATTGAGTTAGACTGCATTGGTATTCATACTACTGACTTCTTCACTTAAGATTTCAGAAAAGTAGGGTTTTTTTTTTTTTTTTAAATCTAGAAAACTTTATACCACAGAATCAAGAGTCTCATTCTTTAATTTATATTCCACTAAATTGTGTTAAACTCCTTAAAAAAAATTTTACACTGGGTGGAAATAAAGTTGGTGCCTGTACAAACATCCAAACATACTTTCCCTTCTTTAGTAGTCAATTTTCTTTCGCCTTGTGGCTTTCATAACTTTTGAATTTTTTACCCGGACCAGATTGAAATTTTGAAAATAAATCTCACACTAGCCATTCAAGCTGTTATATGGATGCATGTACAGTACTATACTAGTTTTTATCACATCAGAACAAAGAGAAAACAAGCAACTCATGGAAGTTTTTTCACATCACAATGCAAGATGACCAGAATCAAGAACAAATACATTCTCTTCCTTCATTTACTGTTATTGCCTAACTACTGTCAAGTACAGTACTCAAGATATGTATTGGATTTATCCCTGTTACTTCACCCAACCCAATAGTATGTTCATCCCCAAAATACATTGAGTAAAAGAGCACAAAACAAGGTTATATAATGATATTTGCATTTTAAATATTACTGCAGATATAAGCAACCTAGTCTGCCAATTTAATCCTAAAGGATATATTTTCATCACTATATATGGTTGTGCTGTATTGTAATGCAGTACTGGATTATATAAAGTGCCAGGGATAAATCCCATGATCATGAGGCACTCCTGCTTATTTTATCCAAAGATTAACCAAGTACCATTAGGGTGTTTAATTTGATGGTGACATAAGCTGGGGTGCTTAACCTTCACATGGCTACTGTATATCCTATTGTGGAAGGGGTACACCACAACAAGATGCATCCTTTACAACACTAAGAACAAATGAGGGGAAATTCTGTATTCTTGATTTAGGTCTTGTGAGATAGGGCTTGCAAAAACAAATATCCAGGCTTTTGGTTTTTATTTATACTGTACTGCATTTTTTCTTAAATTTTACTTCCACACTCAAGTCCATATATGTATACTGTATCTACAATTGACATATTTATCATTATTGCTTCATTTGTCATGAATTTATTTAGATGTATTAATTTGTTCCATATTTCACTGGCATAATCAGTGAGTCCATATTGCATAACAAGTTATATTACAGATGGCTGCAAGGCGTCCGCCAGCACCTGCAACAACAACACAAGTTAAAGAAGTGTGACATAGAAGCCCAGGTGGTCACTGCAGCAACAGAAACAGCTTCAGCACTACCACAGTTTCATCAGCAGACTCATCCACCACCACAACAGCAACAACAACAACAGCAGCAGCAGCAGCAACAACAACAACAACAACAGCAACAACAACAACAACAACAACAACAACAACAACAACAACAACAACAACCACACCACAACCACACTCACCAACAACCACCTCAAGTTCTTCCACCACAACCACCAACTCAGGATGACAACACTACAGGAAGAGGTTACCACACTCTTGAATCTACAGCCCCCACTAGTGACACCACGGCTCAACAGACCTTAAATATGTTTCATGTAACGGAGGTAGAGACTCAGCAGCAGAGTATGTTTCAGTATCATTAAAACTGGTTTCTAGAATACAGTATAATAGGATAGCTAACAGACTTTTTTTTAGGAGAATTGTTCAAATAGTGATACAAGCATGCAACTTGGCATGGATATTCTTATATGGAAATTCTTTAAATCCACTCAATTATTTACTTGAAAATTTAAGTGGCCACCAATTTATCCTGCCAAAGATAAATTGACTGGCTGATAGAATGAGCATTGGTGTCCATTTCTTTGTTTATAAGAATGATGAAGCAAATTCTGCTATCATAAACCTGTGGCTCGAGAACCCATAATTTCAGATCTGGAATTTTGTGTTAGCCGTGAGGCTGACAGTTCTCACCCTGATCCGGTCATTCAGAGAAGCAGACTTTGAACTGTATCGTGAGGCACTGTCAGAACTGATACCATGTCTTCACAAACAACAGTGTGAACTATGCATGATGGCTTCGGATTCACCTCTGTGACATGATGCCTCTCGACCAGCAAAATCCAGAAGTGGCTAGAGAAATTTACAAGAGTAATTTGTTTTGCATAAATTAAAAAGAGAGTTCTCTGCACTGGCTATCGACCAAGCCCACAAACAAAACAATGCAATCATCAGAGATGATGGACAAGTAGTTGGCTTGAATGAGGACCCAGCAGGACTTAGAAGATTAATGATGGGTGGGTCAGAAGTGAGTTGTCTTGTTGTTGGTTTCAAGGCAGTGTCAGGAACCAAAGATGCAACAACCAGCAAGTGGTGTAATAGAGACAAAAGCGCTCGACAAACTTCAAGAAAGTGGGAAGCTTTTTACTATACCACATGAGGTGGGCAATCCCTATCAAGAGGTGTGAACTGCCTTCTTTGTGTTAGATATTAAGGATATTGTTGACCTCACCAGTGCTACTATGATTGGTACACATCACAAGAGGTAAAGAATAAATCCATTTATTCATGGATGTGACTCGAGAGAACAGACCAATGCTTATTCTACCAGCAAGTTGCTTTCTTTAAACATGAGGAAATTGCCTGCATTTTTAAAGATAAGGTACAGAAGGACAACTGCCACTACTACTCTCAACTCTTCATCTCATGTCAGAGCAGACAATGTGATCTGCATTAATTCTTCATACATGAGAACCAGTCAGCCCCTGCCTCCCTAAGTGGCAATGGAGAACTCCATACCTGTATTTGTCGGAAGTCCCAGCTGGTTGAAATATTTAAAGATGAAGTGACGAAACCAGATGCCGAGACAGATACTATCATCATAGATGGATCAGCATCATCAACACCCTATCCCCCATGTATATCAGACATCTGTCTGAAGACAGAAGCAAAGTCCAGAAATTATCTGATTATGGCAACATAATCCAGAGTACGTTCAAGAGATGTAGTGAGTTCCATTTTCCGAAACTTTAACCAAGTTTTCTGGTGTTTTTCTTTTTTGGCACTTAGAAAGGTATGGTCCTCATAGCCTCATATAACAATGGCATTAGCATGCAGTAGTGTTGGGGGTGACTGATGTATTTTGGTGTGGTAGAAACTAAACTCTTGTAAGTCACTTTTATTACTTATTATGGTTATTTTTACATTTTATTAGATGTTTTTACCACTATTTATGTATCGTATTTGGATACACACAAACTTGGTATAAAACAGTGGATGATGCAGATGATGTGTATAGTATGTGAAACAAATGACATATAATGAAAATTTCATCCTATATTTTTTAGCGATGTGTATATGAAATGACATATGTCGATACAACAGTATTCCCAAAAATTAACCAGTGTGGAAATACTATTATTGGTATCTTTCCGTCTGAATGCGAGCACTCAATGTCCCAGATCTCCCAGGCAGAAGATCTAATCAAATAGGATCACCACATAATGCTAACTACCTAGGTATTCTAGAACTAATAGCCAAGTTTGATCCTTTTCTGACTAATCACATTTCACAATTTAGAAATAAAAACAAAGAAAATCTTATGTGAATTAAAAGCTCAACTAGTTGTGATGAACTCATTTTTTGATAATGAGGAAAAGGGTTTTGTCAATTGTTTCCAAACTACTTCAGACTACTTATTTTGTTTAGATTTTACACCTGATGTTTGAAGAATTGACCAACTTTCATTCACCATTCAGTATGTTTTTCCATCTGGTGAATCAGTGGATTGTTTTTTGTTATATCATCCCATCAGTTGTCACACAGAAGAAAGTACTACAGTATGTGTGATCACGTTTTAGACACATTAAATAAACTGGACAAAGATATCTAAAATTGTCGTATAATAGTTAATGTTGTTATTTATGTCTGATGGTCTAAATAAAAGGGTGCCACAGGAGACAAAAGTAAGGATATTGGCAACCATCTTGAATTTTCAAGTGATTAATCGACTGGATTTGAAGAATTTTATATAAGATATCCATGCCAATTTCATGCTTGTACAGTACAGTATCACTATTTGAATGAATCTTCTGTTAGCCACTCTGCTAATAATTGAAGCCTCCATGTCATAGTTGTAATCATTTTCATTTTTCAGTAGTAGAAGAATTTATTTTGTATTAGATTACTATGTTTGGCTTTGATATATGAAAGAAAATAGTGCTCAAACTTGAAAGAGAAAGGCATTTATCAAGTTTGTTTTTTACCAGTGTTATAATCATCAATTTTTTTGTCTTACTCTTGCAAGCCTTTTCCCACTATGATACAGGATGGCTGGAGCAAACATAGACTCTCTTCTCTGCTGTCATTTTCTCTTACTGTCATAACAAATGTGTTTTGCTGCGGTTATCCTGACCCATGACAAAGATCCTAGGTTATCACATAGGATTATCATATATAAAATTAATTCCTTTCCCATTTACCTGGGATTAATTAAGTGCCTAAAGCCATGTAATATGGGTGATAGCACAAGCTAGTTTTTTCTTTATTACTGATATTGGGTACCTATCTTTAGGTACTAGTTGCACCCTTCAACTTGGGTAAAATTTATAGACTCAAAAGATTGTAAACTGTTAATCTTGAGGTATGATATAGAGAAAAACTTAAGTAAGAGGAGCCAGGACAACAATGCATTAACCTAGAAGAGTTAGAACACAATAATGGATTGTAAGGCATTGGAAATAGGTCTGAATCCTATTGGTTAGGAAAGAACATGTTAAGTTGGATCAAGATAGATTAGGTTTGGGCCTCATAGGACTGGGGCCCCATGCATTTCACCAGTCACCCGTCTTGTGTTTCTGAGACAATGTGTGGAATACAATGGAGTCATGATAATTCATGGGTTAGGTACATTGGATATTGTGAATTATCAAATCGCAAATTTTAGTTTAATTTATTTAAATGGAAATTATGAGTTAGGTTCCAGAGTCCAAAAAATATTCTTAAATTGTTCCAAAACTGCTTTAATAAACAGTTAATATTGTATGTAGTATTGTACATCAAAAAGTACATTAAAAAATACAGTAACACAAAGATATTGTTCAGAAAGTAGTTATATATTACATAAACAGCTCCAATATCCCACCAGATGGCCAGCTGTTCCCATTATGGGTGCCGGGCTGGCTGGCTGGTCAGCTGTTCCCATTATGGGTGCCGGGCTGGCTGGCTGGTCAGCTGTTCCCATTATGGGCGCTGGGAAAATTTATTACAATAATGTTTTATTAACCCGACACCACATGAACCTAAATAACATTGGAATTACGGTGAAGTTGCAAACTGACGTGTTAACAGGGGCGTGAGGTGATGCAGTGCTCTTGAAGTGGAGGGATTGAATATTCCTCTCTGTCCAGCCACCCACCCACCCTACATCTCCTACACAGAATTCACAAGTGTAAGAGTGAATTACCTGGAGACAACCTGTTACGCTGGATGATGTGATGCATATAGTTGTGGTTGCTAGGTGCAGCCCCCTTCACTAGTGTGTTACAGGGGCTCGTTAGGTTTTGTGCAGTGTGGCAGCTCTGTATCTGCTTACATTTGACAAAAGGAAACTCGCAATAGCAAATATACCATGGAATCAAATTAGAACAATATTAAAACAATCATCTCAAATACTGTGTTATGATTTATGGAATGTTTATATGATGAGCCCCTGTAAATGCACTAGTGAAGAGGACTACTTCATTGAAGAAGTATTGAGAGATGTCAGGATGACTTTGTCTGTGTGCCTCTTTCCTCACCATCATGGATGAACTACTGTACAGGTATCCCTCGCTATGCAAACATTTGAGATATGAAAATCTGCTCCTGTGAATTTCCTAAATTACCACCTCTTTTTTTTTGGGGGGGGGGGGTAATGAAAGCTTTCCCACTTGTATGAATTTGGGTCCCGGCAAAAATTCAAATCATGTGTTCCCAGGAGTCATCTGGGGCGGCCACACCCTCCCTAGTGCTCTCCCTACCAGGCTGAGGTAGGAGTTATGTTATAGTTATTTTTTAACTCGTAATTTTGGGTAGATAAACATACTGTAACTTTTTTCATATATATATTTTTTTTTTCTATTCAGTTACATGCACACACAATCGTACATAGAGAATGTACAAAAGAAAAAGAATTCTCATAAGGTCAAAACATAAATCAAATAAACATTTCTTCATGCACCAGCAAGAGTTAGCAGGAGTTGAGTTATGTTATGGTTATTTTTCAACTCATGATTTCAGGAAGATATGCTTAACTTCCTTCACTTTTTCCTTTTTTACTCATTTACATGCACACACAATCCTACATACAAAATGTGTAAAAAAAATAGCAAGTAAAAGAAATAACAATCATAAGGCTTAAAATATAAATGAAATAAACATTTCTTTGTGTGAGAGCGGGATGGGGAGCGTTGCTAAGGGTCGGCAGAGGGGTGTCCCTAGCTGGGCTGAATTGCTATGGCGAGGCTTGGGAGCAGCCACATGTGACGCAACCAGCATTTATGCAAATGGCGGCTCTATTAAACTTTCATTTAGCTTTTCCTTCATGGTTTTAGCTGCATATTTTCATTTAGATACTGTAGTATGTTATTAATAGTTTTAATGTGTTCTGTAGTAAATTACAGTATGTACTGGTACTGTAGTTGTGTACTATTTATCATTAGTAAGGTAGGTTTTTTTTTCCTGATTTCATGTTTTTTTTGTGTATGATATTGGGGTTTTCTTGTCATTGGAAAACCGAACCCTATTTTCTATATGTTCTTTTATTCGTTATGCGAAAATTCTTTAACGAATGTTTTTTCAGGAACCTAATTCATTCATATAATGAGAGATACCTGTGTATTGGGTATACCTGTACTGTAAACACTGATTTTTTTCTTAAGATCAAGGTTGTGGTTATTGAAAATTTAAAAATCATATTTTTTGCATTAACTCCAGAACAAACAATAGTAAAAGAGGACTTATTACAATAGATCCTTAACAAAAGCTGCCCCAAATTTGTTATTTATGCTTTATAATGTAAATTTTCTCCAGAAAAGGACATAACAAGAGCTTGGATGTCAAAATACATATTTATACATTATGTACAAAATCGTAAGTCAAATTTTATTTCGGATTTAATTGTGAAGAGCCATTGGAGTACCTACCACATAATATTTTTTACATTGATAGGTCAAAGGTCGAGACTACAATGACCCCCCAAAATTTAATTATTTAAATTATCATTAACTTAAAAACCGCTGGACAAAAACTCGTCAAATTTAGTATGGGGTTCTTTATGTAGGACTCTTATTGGCTCATGGAATAATACGAGTGAACAGTGAGATGTCACCAGTGTGGGGCTTCCTGTTGTAATGTGGCTGAGGCGAGGTAAGCCATCTCTGGTTCCCTTGTTAGATTTGTACTGTAGTGTTATGAACATTAATAAACAACTAAATGGCATTATTTCATTTTCATTTTATTTATTCTTTCAAGGCATACATGTGAAGATAGTGGTAATAATGTAAAAGGGCAACTTGGCAGAGAAAAGGTTAAGAAGCCATGATCAACGCAACAGTTTTGAAGATATTATGTTCTAAAGGTGAGTGTACGGGTATGTTCCTTTGTATCAGCATCAGTACCACCAGATGACTGAGGCTACATTACCATCACCACCACCAGATGACTGAGGCTACATTACCACCACCAACACCAGATGACTGAGGCTACATTACCACCACCAACACCAAATGACTGTGACTACATTACCACCACCAGATGACTGAGGCTACATTACCACCACCAACACCAGATGACTGAGGCTACATTACCACCACCACCACCAGATGACTGAGGCTACATTACCACCACCACCACCAGATGACTGAGGCTACATTACCACCACCACCACCAGATGACTGAGGCTACATCACCACCACCACCACCAGATGACTGAGGCTACATCACCACCACCACCACCACCAGATGACTGAGGCTACATACCACCACCACCACCAGATGACTGAGGCTACATCAACCACCACCACCACCAGATGACTGAGGCTACATCACCACCACCACCACCAGATGACTGAGGCTACATTACCACCACCAACACCAGATGACTGAGGCTACATTACCACCACCAACACCAGATGACGGCACCGCTGCTTCATGAAGGGCCCATGGAGGCATTACCACACCCGGCAGGGCCCCTTAGAGTGTGGCTGTTCCTGGTAGAGGCCTTGGGTGCGTCGCCGTCCGTTAGAGGGTCCCTGGAAGTGCTCTTGGCCTTGAGAGAGCCCCTGGCAGTGCCAGCGCCCCTGACAGAGCCCCTGGGGGCGCTGCCGTCCATGGCATTGCACCTGGGGGCACCACCGCCCTTGAGGGGCCCCTGAGTGCGCCAATGTCCCTGGGAGGGCCCCTGATCGCCCTGCTGTCCCTGGAAGATCCTCAGGGGGCGCCAGTGCCCTGGTAGGGCCCCTGAGGCGCTGCCGTCCCTCGGAGGGTCCCTGGGGGCGCCATCGTCCCTGAGAGAACGGCTGGGAGCGTGTCTGTCCCTGGGAGAGCTCGTGGGAGCGCCAGCGATCCTGGCGGAGTCCTTGGGGGTGCCGCTGTTGCTGGGAAGGCCACTGGGAGCTCTGCTGGCCCTGGGTGAGCCCCTGGGGGCGCCGCCGTCCATGGCATTGCACCTGGGGGCGCCACCTCCCTTGAGGGGTCCCTTGAGTGCGCCAAAGTCCCTGGGAGGGCCACTCATCGCGCCACTGTCAATGGGAGATTCTTGGGGGGGCGCCAATGCCCTGGTAGGGCGCCTGGGGGCGCTGTCGTCCCTGGGAGAACGGCTAAGAGTTTGGCTGGCCCTGGGAGAGCTCCTGGGGGCGCCAGCGACCTTGGCGGGGTCCTTGGGGGTGCAGCTGTTGCTGGGAAGGACCCTGGGAGCTCCGTTGACCCTGGGTGGGCCCCTGGGGGCGCCACTGTCGTTGGGAGGGATGCTTAGAGTGTGGCTTTCCCTGGGAGAGTCCCTGGGAGCGGCAGCGACCCTGGCAGGGTCCTTGGGGGCGCCGATGGTCATGGAAAGAATACTGGCAGGGTCGCTGTCCCTGGGAGAAACCCTGAGGAGCCATCACCCCTGTAATGGCCCCTAGGGGTAGTTGTTTTTGCACTACTTAAAAGTCTGGGTGATATGATGTTAAATAAATACACCGCCCATCACATTTCCAGTATCATCGTATCCTGAACAATGAAATGGAGAATAAATATCCATCAGGAAAACATAAGTTGGGGTGTTGTGCTGACTGAGTGCTCTGTTCTCCTATTGGCTGTAATGTGGTGGATTTACATTTAAGTAAGGGAATACTGACGAATGCAATATGTATGACATCTTTATCAAATCTCTGGGGGTTCTGCAGCTCTTGGGATGGGCCCTCCTAGGGGCGGCGGGGCTCGCAGACGCCCTTCTAGGGACGGTGGGGACCTTCACAGGGGCAGCAGGGTCACTGTGATTGGTGGACTAAAATGTACATCCACCAAATTACAGCCAATAGGAGAACAGAGCACTCAGTCAGCACAACACCCCAACTTATGTTTTCCTGTTGGATATTTATTCTCCATTTCATTGTACATGATACGATAATATTGGAAATGTGATGGGCGGTGTATTTATTTAACGTCATATCGCCCAGACTTTTAAATAGTGCAAAAACAACTACCCCTAGGAGCCATTACAGGGGCGATGGCACCTCAGGGTTTCTCCCACGGACAGGGACGCTGCCAGGGGTCTTTCCATGATCACCGGCGCCCCCAAGGACCCTGCCAGGGTGTTCCCGCTCCCAGGGACTCTCCCAGGGAAAGCCACACTCTCAGCGTCCCTCCCAAGGACAGTGGCGCCCCCAGGGGCTCACACAGAATCAACGGAGCTCCCAGGGGCCTTCCCAGCGACAGCGGCACCCCCAAGGACCCCGCCAGGATCGCTGGCGTTCCCAGGAGCTCTCCCAGGGACTGCAGGTTCCCTGCCGTTCTCCCAGGAACGGCGGCGCCCCCAGGGGCCCTTCTAGGTACCTCAGGGCCCCAGGGACCCTACCACGGCACTGGCGCTCCCCGAGGTTCTCCCAGGGACAGCGGTGTAATCGGGGGCCCTCCCAGGAACAGTGGCGCGTTCAGGGGCCCCCTCAAGGGCGGTGGCTCCCCCAGGTGCAATGCTATGGACGGCTGCGCCCCAAGGGGCTTTGTCAGCACAACACCCCAACTTATGCTTTGCTGTTGGATATTTATTCTCGTTTCACTATTTTAAACTCTGGGAGATATGATGTTAAATAAAATACACACTGCCCATAGCATTTTCAGTATTATCGCAACCTGAACAATGAAAAGGAGAATAAATATCCAACAGCAAAGCATAAGTTGGGGTGTTGTGCTGACTGATTGCTCTGTTCTCCTATTGGCTGTAATTTTATGACGTCACATCTTACTCCACCAATCACGTTTAAGTAAGGGATT